GGGGTGAAGGGCATCCCCGGTGATTGACGAAGTGGATAATCAGGAAAGAGAATTAAGGAGGCGATTAAGATCGGCGCGATAACATTAGGCGACGTTTAATGGCGGTGACGATGACGATCCGAGCGGGTCCTCGCCCCCCCCCCCCTCGCCCTTCGTTTGCATTCTGGTCGTGTGCCTTCTCCTCTTCTGCGGCTTTTGCTCCCTTTTCTTCCTCCCTATATTCGTATTTTTCTTCTTCTTTATATTCTTATTCTTATTCTTATTCTTATCACTTTCTTCTTTTCTTCTACTTCTTCTTATTATTATTATTATAATTATTTTCATTATTATTATTATTGTTGTTGTTATAATCATCATCATCATCATCAATCCTTTCATTTTATTTTTCCACCTCTTCTTCCTCTTCGTTTTTTTCTTCCTATTCTTCCTCCTCTTCTTCCCCGACATGATCCTCTAGGAGGATGGAGGTGGTAGAGAAGGACCAGAGAAAGGGCTTATTACTTCACTTTAATTGGCGACCCCCTCCCTGCCCTCACCCCCTCCTTTCCTCATCACCTGTCTCCCACCCCACCATACCCCCTCCCCTTTCCCTTCGTTCTTTACTATCTCCTCCTTCCTCTTCCTCCCCTTTCCCTTCTCCTTCCCTTCTTCCTCGCTCCCTTTCCCCTAACCCTTCGTTTTTACTCTTCCCCTTCTCCTTCCTTTCCTCCTTTCCCCTTTCTTCCCTTCTCCTTTTCCTCCCCTTCCCTTCCCCTTCTCCTTTTCCCTCCCCTTTCCCTTCCCCTTCCCTCCTCTTTCCCTTCCCTTCTCCTTTTCCTCTCCTTTCCCCTCCCGTTCCCTTGGGTCGCGTGACGAACCAGAAGAAAGCCCATCAGTTTAAATGCTTGTAAAAAGTAGTTCGGTTTGAGTGTCAAGCGGAAGGGGTGGGGTGGGGTGGGGGTGCAGGGTAGAGGGGAGGCGGTGAGGGGTTTTAGACATGGATGTAAGGAGGGGTCAACGGACTCTCTCTGTCTCTGCCTCTCTCTCTCTCTCTCTCTCTCTCTCTCTCTCTCTCTCTCTCTCTCTCTCTCTCTCTTCTCTCTCTCTCTCTCTCTCTCTCTCTCTCTCTCTCTCCCTCCCCCCTCCTCTCCCTCCCTCCTCCCTCCTCCTCCCTCCCTCTCTCCTCCTCCTCTCCCTCTCCCTCTCCCTCTCCCTCCCCCTTCCTCCCTCTCCCCTTCCTCCCTTCTCCCCCTTCCTCCTCTCCCCCTACCTCCCTATCCTCTCCTCTCTCTCTCCTCTCTCTCTCTCTCTCTCTCTCTTCCTCTCTCTCTCTCCTCTCTCTTCTCTCTCCCTCCGTCCTCTCTCCTCTCTCTCCTCTCTCCTCTCTCTCTCTCTCTCTCTCCCTCTCTCCCCCCCTCTCTCTCCTCCTCTCTCCTCTCCCCCTCACTCCTTCTCTCCTCTCTCTCCTCTCCTCTCTCTCCTCCCCCCATCTCTCTCTCTCTCCTCATCTCCTCTCTCTCTCTCTCCTCTCTCTCTCTCTCTCTCTCTTCTCTCTCCCTCTCCCTCTCCTCCCTCTCCTCTCCCCTCCCTCCCTCTCTCCCATCCCTCCCTCTCTCTCCCTCTCCTCTCTCCCCTCCTCTCCCTCTCCCTCTCTCTCTCCCTCTCTCTCTCCCTCTCCTCTTCTCTCCTCTCTCTCTCTCTCTCTCCTCTCTCTCTCTCTCTCTCTCTCTCTCTCTCTCTCTCTCTCTCTCTCTTCTCTTCTCTCTCTCTCTCTCTCTCGTCTCTCTCTCTCTCTCTCTCTCTCTCTTCTCTCTCTCTCTCTCTCCTCTCTCTCTCTCTCTCTCTCCTCTCTCTCCCCTCTCTCTCTTCTCCTCTCCCTCTCTCTCTCTCTCTCTCTCTCTCTCTCTCTCTCTCTCTCTCTCTCTCTCTCTCTCTCTTCTCTCTCTCTCTCTCTCTCTCTCTCGCTTTCTCTCTCTTTATCTGTTCCTCTGTCTCTCCTCGTTTTATAGCTGTCACTTGCGTTCTCTCGCTTTATCCATCTCTATCTCTGTCTGTCCTTCTGTCTGTCTTTATATCTTATTGTGGGAGTGACGACGATGTTGAAGGTAAAAGAGAAAATCCTTGGTAGATAAGAGTTCCGTGCACAAAACAGGCTTGGCAGTAAGGGGAAAATGAAAAAATAGACGAAAACAGAACAATGCAAGAAAAACATGGCAAGGAAGATAAAGGAGAGAATGAATGGCGGAAAGAATAAAGAGAGAGAATGAAATCGAAAGAAATCCAGGGTGGGTATCTTGCTTGTCCATCAGTACAGCTGCAGGTAACACAGGTAATTGTTTAGGTCGTTAGGTCAGCGATGATCAAGAAAGGGAAAACGATTTTTTTTCGTCTGGAAACATTTGAAATTAATTATATCATGTTAGTTAGGGTTCTTTGATTCTTTTAAGTATTTGTATTTTTGTAATTATCTTATTTTTTCACTAGCATGCATGTAGAGATGTTTAATTTATGGGTGTCTAGGAGCCCAAGGCTTTGAGAATAACACTAAACGTTTCTCTGTCACCTTTGATTTTTTCAGCGTTGATTTTTTCCACTTTTTCTGTCGTTGTTCTCCTGTTGTCTTTGTTGATAAGGCGAGCTTGTAGGTGAGGGGTAGGAGGGCTGGTGGGTGGGGGTTATAAGAAGTGGGCTGGTGGGAGAAGGTTGTAAGGGTGAGCCGTTGGGGGAGGGTTGTATAGGTGGGCTCGTGGGCTGTTGGGCGTTGTAAGAGGTGGGGGTGGGTGGGGTTGTATGAAGTGGGCCGTTGGGGGAGGGTTTGTAGAGGTGGGCTCGTAGGTGGGGTTGTAAGAGGCGGGTGGGTGGGGGTGTATGAAGTGGGCCGTTGGGGAGGGTTGTAGAGGTGGGCTCGTAGGTGGGGTTGTAAGAGGTGGCGGGTGTGGTGGGGTTGTATGAAGTGGGCCGTTGGGGGAGGGTTGTAGAGGTGGGCTCGTAGGTGGGGGTTGTAAGAGGTGGCGGGTGGGTGGGGGTTGTATGAAGTGGCCGTTGGGGAGGGTTGTAGAGGTGGCTCGTGGGCTGTTGGGGGTTGTAAGAGGTGGCGGGTGGGTGGGGGTTGTATGAAGTGGGCCGTTGGGGGAGGTTGTAGAGGTGGGCCTTTGGGCTGTTGGGGGTTGTAAGAGGTGGCGAGTGGGTGGGGTTTGTATGAAGTGGGCCGTTGGGGGAGGGTTGTAGAGGTGGGCTCTTGGGCTGTTGGGGGTTGTAAGAGGTGGCGAGTGGGTGGGGGGTTGTATGAAAGTGGGCCGTTGGGGAGGTTGTAGAGGGGCTCGTAGGTGGGGGTTGTAAGAGGTGAGCTGGTGGGTTTGCAATAGGTCGGGCTGATGTGTGGGTTTCTAGGGGAGAAAGGGTGGACTACAGAATAGGGTGGACTCGGATGGGCTTGCGGGAGGGTGTGGAATGGGTGGCTTGGGTGGGGAGGGAGTGCCTCGACCATGAGTCATGTGCAGAGAGAGAGCTGGAGGCTTCACTGACTTTTTTATCAGCTCTGATTTTAGAAATCATTGCCGTGTAATGACTGCCTTCGTGTTATTTCTTTCTCCTAGGTTGCCTCTCTTCGTTCGTCATCCACTTGCTTCAAACCTTTTTTTTTTCTTTATTCGGAAATAGGATCTTTCTTTCCTACTCTAGTCTTCCCATTTTGTCCCTCGTCCTTTTGACCATATTGAATTTTAATCAAATTAATTTCTCTGTCATTTCCAGGTACGTATGGTTCGCTATCTCCCTTTCCGTCGTGGCGATCGAAAGGTAAGAGGCACGCCTTTTTAAAATTCTTTTCGGTTACTGTTATCGGCTTTTATCGCCTTCCTCGCGTGCCAGCGGACGAAAGAAAGCGCGGCCTGGGGTCGTGACGCCATAGTGACGTCATCGGGCGGTTCGGTGCGATGTTGGGGGTGACGTCATGGGAGGCTTCGGGAAACGTGACCCAAGTTGCAGCCGTGAGAGGAAAGGAAGATGATATTTCTGTTCAAAGCATCACCGCTCACCTTGTCATTAGTAACGTTATTCCAGGTAAACCATCATTATTGGCTTGATTGTCGTTATCAGCAGTAGCAGCGGCTGTACCATCACCATCATTATCATTATTGTCAGAAATCATCGTCAACTTCGTCATAATCAAAGCTGCAGTGCTTTACCATCACCGGCAGTGCCTCCACCATCGACTCCATCAACACCTCCCCCCTCGTAGCTGTAGAGAAACATCACCAT